CTATTATATTTTTATTTTTTTTGTATAAAATATACTTTATATTTAGTATATCTAAAAAGATAATAATGTTTTGTCAATATTTTTATTTTTATTTTCCATTTTTTATAACAGTTAACATTTTTAAGCAAGTTGTAAAATTGTAATATTTATTTTTTAGTTAAATAATATATGGAATATTAATTTCGTGTTTAATATAATTTTGAAACATTGACATTTTCTAAAAAAGATACTTTACATTTAGTATATCTAAAAGGACAATAATATATTGTTAATATTACGTTTTTATTTTTTATTTTCCATTTTTTATAACAGTTATCCTTTTTAAGTAATTAGTAAAATGTTAATATTTCTTTTTTTGTTAAATTATATATGGAATATTAATTTCGTTTTTAATATAATTTGGAAACAGTAACATTTTCTAAAAATAATAAACTAATATAATGATGTGTCATTATACGATTGGAGGACTTAAATCCTATGTGGACACTCTCAATGGCTTATAGCCTCAACTTTTATATAGTATAGATGTTTTCATACGTTTTTTTATGTTAATGGGCTTCATCCCCAAAAATAATACACTGGTTGAATTAGTGACTATGTTTGTGTACTGCTGACTCACTGAATTACTGTGCTTTGGTATTATGTTTGTGCTTTGTTTTGTGTAGTGATTGTACTAAAATGGAAAAAGGCTTCCAACATATCATTGTGGTAAATGCATGAATTATACGACTAGTTTATATTAATACTTTTTTTTTTATAAATATTACCTAGATAATCAGTGACTCGGTGTCATATATTATAGATTTGAATGATTTGTCACACATGCATGGTACATAGTCGTACATTCCACAAAATTATATATATATATGTTTACTTTTTTTTTGGTCCTCCACAATCTTCAAACCTTTATGGTTATGGATCGTCAATGTGTGATGTTGTACAGGCAGAGAAGCTGTTCAGTAATAACCATAATCCATAATGGCCACCATGTGTCTGCAGAATGAACACATATACATATTAGGTTTTAGTAGCTTATATGATCTGTTGCACACAAAAAAAGTACCTTCTTCCACTGGTTAACAAACATACCCATCAATATTATACAGATGTACCCCAAATATATTAACATAAAGATTTGCGCTAGATATTATTTATTTTGCGAGGGTGGACGAATATAGCGTCCGAAAAGTTCAAAAAGCCTAAACCCTATAAAGCCTACGAAAACGAAGTCGAATATATTAATATTTTGTATGTATGGTGGAGTGTTTGAAGGAATATATTATTATTATTTTGGCTTTATTCCTACAAAAAGCAAATCGTAAACATATTAATATTAGCGTTGAATTAATTTGGGTTCGAAAAATATTCAAATTCGCATTCAGTTTAGAAATATATACAATAATTACTTTCACCTAGTGTCCATAAGTGTATCTATCCAACAAGCACATTCAAGTTTTTAGAAATTAAAAATCTCTTCTAGATCACAATGACACGTGTATAATTATAGAAATGCACTTCGCATTCAAATAAGAGTGACTATGTTCTTGATCTTAAAAATTTAGTGGAGAAATCTATGGTTGTGGCATAATAATAGGTGCATGCCCATATTAACTTTGTAAACGTGCGAAATATTTTTGTAAGATGTAAATGTGAAGTCTATAAAACTATGTTGTAACGCTCAGATATTTCAAAATATAAATTTTGAATTTGAACAACTTTCCAAGTGTCTACATCTCCATCAAAGAACTAGGGATTGAACATTTAGATGCTATATATACAGCATACAGTGTACACCAACCTGCCTAGGTTGAAGCCACAAGATTACGAAGTATCCTGCGTAATTAAATCCAAGTCAGCGAGAAAAGTAACACAAAAGTGCTGAGATAGGCTCAGTGAGTCAGTTTATAGCAAAAACAGCTTTTGAGCCCTAACAATTTGGATGGGAAATAGCTCATAAATTGAATAATATAAGAAAAGTAGAATTTAATTTGGGACGAAAGAAAATCCAAATTTTAGATTAAGTAGATTTTATTTGAAATAACTGGTACAATAAGGAGTTATGGGGTGACAAATGGAATATAATAATATATGCAAATTAGATTTTTTTTTACTAAATATATTAATACCATCTCTAAACCAATCTTTTTTTTTCTTTATATTTTGTTCTAAAATAAAGTAACTTATACATTTCTATAATAGATAAAAAAAATATAACATTTCTCTATATTATATTCTATAAAAGAGTAAAATATACCATTACAGGAAATTTAACTTTATAATAAAGTTAATTCTATTTAGAAAGAAATATGAAGAACATAGAATTGCATTGGACATGCTCTAACATAACTTTCATTATAAAATTCATGGAGAAATGCATTCACTCTGTATCAAACGAAACAGAAACAAAACAATTTTGTGTTCAACGAAATATAAACAAAAAAAAACATAAAACAACAATTAAAAATATGCCAAGAATGTTTGTTGCATCATGATTCGTCCACATGGGGCAATTCTTTTGTATCCAACCAGTTCTGTATCCAACCCCATTCGCAAATAGAAAAGAAAAAAAACACCAAATAAGATTCATGTCCTCTCTTTTTTTTAACACATTACATCTTCTCTTTCAAATAATGAAATTGTTAAGATAGTTTAACCGTAAAAACCACCGCCTGAACCACCACCACCACCATAGACATTTGGCGGCGGATCTAGAATAGGCTGTGAGACAGACACTCCGTTATTGTTATTGCCTCCCCCACCTAAATGCAAGTCCGACATATTAGGAAAACCTTCTTTAGGTTCAAGCCCTTGATCATACAAGAAGCCTTTAAAGACATGGCCACCGATTTTCACCACCGCCTGGTATGCATACTCGTCGTCCCCGTCCTCCACTGCCGTCACTTTCACACACTTGAACACCGCCGCAGCCCTAACCTGCCCCGGCCAAGCTTCTCTTGTCCCTCCATCTTGCACATATAAAACATTATTATTGTCCATTATCACCAAATCAACATAATTAATATCATTAGTATATTACCATCAAATAACCACTTTCAAACAATACATTCTGATTTAATGTAACGTTATAACATTAAAATTGTTGAAATAAATAAATAATACGTTATAACCTAAACTGAAAATAGAAAAATATCAAACCCATCTACATTGTACTCTCTCCGATCTATATTATACTCTCTCCGTTTTATATTAAGTGTCGTTTTAGAGATTTTTTTCGTTACAAAATAAGAGTGATTTAGTTTTTCAATGCAAAATTTATTAATTTTTTTCTACAATCTATTTTTCTATTGGTTGATATATGGTTAGATGTATAGATAATTGTGTTTTTATATGAAAAATATGCAAAATTAATGATTTTCTTAATCAGTGTGCATGAACCTAAAAAGAGAAAATTATGTTTTGGTTTGGTTTAACTCATTCAGAAACCAAAACGTTGATTGATAATAACCAACAAATGTTAATTAAATGCATGAATTCATGTAGACTTATGTATACAAGTTAATGATATATAAACATACCTTGGCGGCTGGAGCTAGTATCGAAACTTTGAGGAGGCGTGTTAGAAGTTGAAGTATGAGAAGTGGCTTGTTGTTGTTGTTGTTGTTGAGACCCAACAATCCTCGCCCTCTTGTTCCCTGAGGAGGTCGAAGAGCCAGCCGTTGGATTAACGTTAGGCATAACTTGCCTTTCTCTCCTACGAGCCGCGGAGACCCACGTGCTCTTCACGTGAGTCGAACAATCAAAGCCACGGCTCTTGCAGCACGTCCTGCACCGCCTCTGCTTACACTCTTTCTTCGCCTGGTTTCCACAGTCTTGACACGTGGCGGTTCCCGACGCGGCCGAGCCAGACCCCGAGTTGTTCGAGCTAGTCTGGTGAGTACTCTTGAAGTGAAGATACTGCGTCTGGTTGTTGTTGTTGTTGTTGTTATTGTTCTGCCATCTCCGGCTATCTCCGAGGAAGTTAATGTCGGTGTCTTCCACGTTCGTCGGAGCCGACGTGAGAAGAGGAATCATTCCAACGCCGAGAGCTGCATTACTGTTGATCTGATGGGATTCAGACACAACTCCGGCGTTCTGGTGGTGGTGGTAGGCCGGAGCAACAAGGTAGACGTCTCTTAGACCGACCATACCCATCTCCGCCGCCGACGACGGGAGGCCATAACGGACGGAGGATCCGGGAGGCCATGATGGAACGCCGGCGGCGGCAGAAGCTGAGGCTAAACCACCGTGGACGACAGCTGGACCACCAGCATTAAAACCAAGAGAAAGATCCTCGGTGGCGCGTGAAGATGTCGTCGTTGTCGCCGCCCAGTCGGTGAAGGCACCGGAATCTGACGTTGGTAGATTATGTCTCCTCGTCGTTGCCACAGCTGATCAAATCTAAACCCTAACTAAAAAATTTATATATATATTTAAAAAGAAACAATATATCTCTTTGATAGAAACAATATATAGCACAAGAGCTTCAATGTAGATAACCAATAAGTTTATTACATATCAGAAAATCTTAAATAGAATCTGTGATGTAGAAATTAGAAAGAAGAAGAAGAAAGATCCTGTAATCTACTGTCACTAACTGTTATTTTCTTGTACTCTCTAGTCTCTACTGGATCTTCACTTGCGTCCCTTTAAAAACAAACTCTCTGATGTCTATGTTTTGTTTCCTTCTTCTAGATTGTTTCCTTCTTGTTGTTCCTGTCTCTCTCTCTCTCTCTCTAATAATAATCAACAAGGACAACTGCAGAAAGATAGAGGAAAGTGAAAAAAAAGAGAGAAAATTTCTGTTTTTCTTTATTAATTTTGGTTATTACTTGTTCATGTTTTTTTAATAATAATCACTCAAAGAAATGGCACATGATACCTTCTTCTCCTTTATCTTAAATATTTTTCTATTATTCTATATCAGATGACAAAACTCACCACCAGGCGCTCGTGCGCGTGGCTCCACTTGCTTGTAAACCGACTGCACCGGTTCACTCTTTTAGGTACATGGTCCGGTATACCACAACACAAATTAGCCGAAAATCATAGTAAACTATAACTTTTATAGTACATAAATCGCATATATTTCCCCCGATTACATTGGAGAACAAAACATAGAATTTCTTTAGGCGTTTCTTGATTGGTTTATACAATATATGCATATTTTTACGTATGTATATTGCGATTGAGAAATAAGTCGCTTTATGTTCTTTTTTTTATAGGAAAGCTTTAAAAGGACAAGAATTTGGTTTGAGTTATATGCACGTGAAAGAAAGGTTCGTCGGCTCCTCCCCACGCTTTACGGCCGTCGAATCATTACTTTTTCTTTTGAACTCTTTTGTGTTTAAATTACATAAACCCACGGTCCTTTTTTAGCACGGCCCTAAACCCATATTGTCTTATAACTTATAGAACTTATAAAAGTCTATTTTCGTGTTCTATTTGATAAATCATTTCCACACAGAATGATGCAAAATTGTATGGATAATGGAGATAAGTTTCATTGAGTAACTTGACTTTTTAAATATGTAGTGTTCGTTAGTGTTACTAAGAAGTATGTTTGAATGTCATTAGGGTTATCAAACAAAATACATTGCATAAGTCCGACTCAATCTTTTTCCCATTAGTCAATGGTCATAACCTTGTGGTGGATGATATGTATTTCCAAAAACCAAACAATTACAAGGATTTGAAGGAAGTAAAAGGATGTAACGTTCTCAAAATAATAGAAAAAATAAAAGCATGTAAACAGTAAGATTTATGACAAAGTAAAAGAAAAGGAGCAGAAGGCACGGGGCTCAAGAGAAGAAAATGTTATACAAGAAGCAAAAGAAAAACCAATAATGGAGGGAAGTCGAGACAAACACCAATGCTTCTTTGCCTAATCGGCGGATGGTGGCGTGTTGTCTCACTTCTCTCCGACAATGCGTTTCCCCCCACGCGCCTAGTTTCCCGTTTTCTTAATTTATGAACCGGTACCCAAACTGGCCGGTTCATGATTTCGATCACTTAACGGTTTGGTTTTGGGTTTAATGTCAGATGGTATTGGAATCGAGCACTGCTCATTCCTCATTGTCGTAGAGTCTTATCTTATAAAGTCGATTATTCAATGAAACTTAAGTTTTTAATTTTACTGTTGTAACTGTTAAGTCTTAGACATCCATATATACTAAAATCTACCACATGTAGAGATTTATGAAATTTTCATATAATAAAGTTGTACGTATAGATTAGGATTTGCATCTTGAAAATTCCGAAAGCCATTTTAGAGGACTACCATGTTTTTATTAACGTCTCTAATTAAATAAGTTCAAAACCAATTGAAATATACATCCTTTCAACATCATAAAGTCACCTGAGCTGGCGATAAAAATGAATCTTACTGGCAACAGAGAAAATTCAAACTTTAAACAGTTGCCATCGTCATTTGGAGGTATTGCGACGAAAAAGAAGAATAAGTCGTCGTTAATTGTTTTCTTCAAAACTATCTCCAACAATAGATTCACCATTAAAATTATAATTCAACTTTTTAAATAAAAATAATTAAATTAAAAATTTAGATATTTATTTAATTTGAACTTTTCTAAGGGTAGAACCAATTAAAAGTTTGAAATTTCAAAAATTTATAGAAAAAACAAAAGATATATTTTTTGTTTAAAATACCACATCTCACAAAATGACATATGTCATTTAGAAATAGATCCAAAACCTCTAATTATAGAACTATATCTATCTAAATTATATCTTTTTGATTTAAATTTAATCACATAAATATTTAGATACATCATTTAGAAGTATCCTCTTTTGGAGATAGTCTAATTCGCCTACTCATATTTAAGACCATCAAACGAAGCCAAATGAAGTATCAAAGCTACATTGAATTTACATGCGACGCAAATTTGAATTGTCAAAGATGAATCAATCATATATCATTTGTACACGCTAGCTGGAGCACCTCGCAAATTAATATATTACGTTGTCGAAATTTTACATATATAAACATGCATTTTGTCAACTTGTTCATTCATGACGACGAGCTTGCAACCAAACAACACAAACCAAACATCCAACTAACCACTAATATTTCTTTGTTTTTTATATCCATTTTTCTCCTAAACAAATAGAAAAGAGAAACAATAATATTTTAACAAAAAAAAGAGAGAAATAAGAATATTTCCATGACTTAAATCAATTAACTTCTTGTTGCCTCCAAATAATCCCCAAGCACCGTAACGGAGAAACCCTAATCTCATGCTCAGAGATCGTTTGCAACTTAGGTGACCATAGATGTTCTCTCGTTCCAACAAGCTGATCATACTGTTTCTTCAACTCAGGAGAATTACAAATGCTTTCACCACAATCCATTATCACCTCTTCTTCACTGATGCTTCTCTTTTTACATATAAGACTCATGATAAAAAGAGGAGAAACTTTTATAAGAATCTTCCCGTTTAATCCCTTGGAATACTCGAACGGTGGTGGACTCGACGGGGCGGTGAAATTCAATGATGGTGGTTGATTAGTGGACCGAACATTTTCTATATTAGAGTTGAAGATGGAGAGACACGACGTGGTTAAGACTCTGTAAGCGAAACGTTCGATTGGTAAGACGAAATAGGTTTGACCAGGGATGAGATAGTCGTCCATTGCTAGAGCTGGAACCGGATGGCCGATGAAGAATGAATCTGCATGGCACACGATTTGATCAGGAAACTCGAACATGATCTCTCCAGCAACATGTTTCTTGGAGTCACGTAGGGTTTTGGTGGATCCACACTCGAAGAATACTAGCGTGACGATTTCTTGGCGTTTACGGATTATTGAAAAACAAGAAATGATTAGAGATTTTCCCATTAATTTTTAACGAGAGAGGTTTTTTGTTTTTGTGTTTGAAAGTTATGGATTGTCGTGTTGTAAGAGAAGGATAATATAGATGGACTTGTCTTCATGGTATTTGTGTTTTGTTTATATCTAAAAGGCAACTACTTGAAGGAGTTGACTTTTTGAAGTGGTCAATACTCGAGGATTTGCTTATGCATATCAGCTTATGATTTGATATGGCCGGTTCCTTGGTCAATCATCTCGGCTTTTGATTTTTCTGCACATTTATATTGTATTATAATGTTTTAATTATTGCGCAGATTCGTGGAAGTTGTTACACAAAAACATTAGTCTTATTTTAAGGTTTTATATACTATAGCACGTTGAGCTCGTGATTTATATCCTGCCAACTGTATCAAATGACGGATTATGCGATGGTCAAGATTCATTTTTTTTTGTTCATGGTCCAGATTCATACTCTCTTATCTCTTCTGTTTTCCATCATTTTCCTTGTTTACGTTGCCAATAATCATTACACATATAGCCGGCGCCAGAAATATGGTTTAATGCAGTTAACGACCTGAAACTTTGAAAATATGGCATTTTGTAGTTTCACACTAAATGCAAGTAGGCAACAACTTGAACGAGCGATGATTAGCTTTTTTATAACTAAAGAAACATGTATATATTTTGATTGTATTGTTCAACCAAAGACCAAAGTTGATTTTTTTTTTTTTTGATGAAATTTGATATTTATTCATCTATACGGGAAGAGACATTTACAAAACTTCTAGGGAAATGGTTCGTATACTCTATGGAGTTCTGCTAATCTACTCACAGAAGTAAAAAATAGAAGTAGAAAGTGCAAAAGAATTATAAAGAATGGAGAAACCATCTCTGGAGAAGGCCTGCAAATTTGTGTCCATGCTGATATTTCAGTGATACGATGCGGTTCCGCATGGCTTTATCAATTGTTGACATCATAGCTTCAACGGTAGTCCATCTCGTGTGATGTCGCCTTGCATTTATCTCCCTCCAGATATGATAAATTACTGAAAGAGTAGCCTCACGAGAATGGAGTCAAGGCCACTGAAACGATGGTTCTGAAGGTATACCAGAGTCAAACACCAATCTGGATTAGTACCTGATCCCAACAGTTTCCCAGCCAATCTGTCCCACACTGTGTAGACATAAGGACATGCAAAGAAAATATGATCCCTTGTCTCGTCCCTTTCACCACACAAAGGACAGCCTTGAGTAATCCCCCAACTTCGCATTCTATCTCCAGTTGTCAATCTGTTTCGAACAGCAAGCCATGTAATGAAAGCGTACTTTGGAACTCCTTGAGTGAACCAGACCACCCGACTCCAAGGTACTACTGCTCGTCGGGCTCTAAGCTGATCCCAAGTAGTTGCTGCAGAGAAAGAGTCGCGATAGTCATTGTACCCATGCTTCCATAATACCACATCAGTTCCTTGCTGAGGATCAGGGACTGGGTGAGCAAGGATTGCTGTGTATAGCTCAAAGTTGATTAAATGGATAGAAAGGTGAGACGTCATATTAGTTACCTTGAATTTTTAGTTTAGTTTGATTTAATCTGCTGAGTAATTTCTAATTGAAAAATTGCACTCCATACACGTAGAATATAACGAAATTAGAAAAATACCTTTTTTCACTGTTTCTAACTGTCGGAGAAGATGAGTGGACGAGTTTACCTCTATCGCTTAACCTTATTGTCCTAACTTATTAAAAAAAAACTACATACGCTCATTCCTTCTCCTTCCTCCCTCCTTATCGTTTCCACCGACGCAATCAATCTCCGTCGGAGACTATCCTCTCCGTCCTCTACTCTTCTGATCTATAGATCCTTCGTTATATCTTCCCAAAAACTCTAACTTTCTAATTTTATGCATACGAAGGTGGTGTATGTAGAAGTTTAGATCTCGTGTGGAATACGCTCAGCTGGCGCCGCTTGTGTCAGATATTATACGGTCCAGATGAAACTTTCGAAGATACATAATCTTTTAGCCACCTCGTAAAGAAAAATCTCCTGGAAAAATATTTCTAAAATCCACCAAATATCTTTTTATATCTCCCTAGATTGCCATGTTTTCACATTAAGCAAACGGAGAAGGTGAATCCGTCATCTCCACCCACTGGATACCCAACCGGCCCATTTTAGCATATGTCTAATTTCAATATTCTCTATGGGTATTGGGCTTAATTGCTCTTTCTAATTTTGAAGAAAAGGTCTTACAATTTTAAAATTTATAATAATCAAATATATCACAACTGAAAAAGTTATAAATGGGCCCTAAAAATGTACCCAAAAGGATGATGTAGGTTGATCTATCCAAGTGTAGGATGACCACGGGCCTCCTGATTCAAATTAATACACATAAACCCATTATCCTAAAGCGCATGTTTTTGTTGACTATGATACATACTTAGGCATGCTGCTTGTTGCTTTTGTATGACAATATCAGGATTAAATTTTTCACTTTTCATCTTGGGACTGAAAAAGCATGTTGAAGTTCTTAGTTATTGAAAGCTCACATATATATCACATTTACATCAAAAACTGGGAAACATTGATCTGTATTCGTTATCTTTGTGTGTGTTGCAGATTTTCGGGCCACCACAAACAGAAGAAAAAGAAGAGAAAAAAAAAGAGAAGAATATAATTGGCTACTCATAAATTTTACAGAGTGACATTCATGACTAGTACTAGTACACTTTTGTTATCTACATCATTATCACTGTTTTTTTTTCCATTTTCTTTGCCAACCCAACTTACACGTAGCGTATATTATGTAATATTTTTAAATACGAGCTAAACTTTAATTTGTTGATTAAATAACATCACATTTCGATTTGTATGGTATAGTTCACTGATGGAAGACACATAAATTTAACTAAAATATATGCCAAGAATTTCTTACATATATATATGTTCCAAAGTGACACTATGAGTTAAGTCTACTTGTCTTAACACAACTTAAAATATTAATAAACTCGAAAATTATATAGTGATTAATACCCAAAGGAAAAAAAAAAAAAGAATCCGCCTTTTTTTGTGGGTAGCTTAGCTTTCTTCTCGTCTTGCGTAGTAGATGAGATCATCCCCAAATATTGGCCGAGTCTCTAGATTCTCTCTGCCCCTTGCCAAAAACTGCTTCAAATCGAGCTGAAAAGAGTTGCATCGAAGAAGACGATCACTGTAGCTGAATACTTGTTTGATTCCGCGAATGTAGCTATATATTTATAGTCTTCCTTTAATTTGTTGTTTGTGGAAGTATGGCTTCGGATCTTAGCAGAGCTGGTCCTGTGGAAAGAGATATCGAGCAGGTCTTTGCTCTTTGTTATAATTTGATCTCAAAGTTTTTATCTTTTTGATTCACCAACGTGAATTTCACTTTAACAATTCATAAAGTTCGTTTCTTGGATACTAATTTACATTTTATTAACCATTCAGCTTTTGGAGTTTTTTTTTTTTTTAATTGGCATGATTCGTTTATAGTTCAGTGTGTGTTACTTATGTCCTGTAATTCACTATTTCATTGTTACTGATGAGGTTAAATCTCCATTGCAATAAGAGATACTCATAGGATTTGCTGTTTTGATTTTACTCAGGCTATCATTGCTTTGAAAAAAGGAGCTTACTTGCTCAAGTATGGAAGAAGAGGGAAGCCTAAGTTCTGTCCTTTTCGTCTTTCTAATGTAAGTGTTCCATTCTCTTGTCAGCAGTGATATTTTTTTATTTTTCTTTCTTTCACACAACTTTCTTTCACACAACTTAGTTTTATATGTAGCTCTTTGTTTTGGTTGTTGAGAGGTAGTTGCTTGTGAATTTCAGGATGAAACTGTTTTGATATGGTTCTCCGGGAAGGAGGAGAAGCATCTGAAGCTTAGCCATGTTTCTAGGATCATATCTGGACAACGCACTGTATGTTTCCTTCTTTATGATCTTCTATGAAGCTTTTCATCTGACAGTTACCTTAATCTGAGCTCTCTGGTTCTGATATATATAGCAATTTGTGGCTCTCTTGTAGCCTATTTTTCAGAGGTATCCTCGTCCAGAGAAGGAATATCAGTCTTTCTCTCTAATATATAGCGACAGGTCTTTGGATTTGGTGAGGTTTTCTTAAAACCATTTGCTTCCGCTATAAAATTATTACCAAGTCATTCGAAATGTCACTGTGGTTATTTAAGGTTAATTAATCTGGTGGTAGGATTTTATTTGGTAGATCTGCAAGGATAAAGACGAGGCTGAGGTGTGGTTTAGTGGTCTTAAAGCCTTGATTTCACGTTACCATCAAAGAAATAGGAGGACAGAATCAAGAAGTGATGGGACACCATCTGAAGCTAACAGCCCAAGGACATATACCAGGAGAAGCTCTCCTTTGCACTCTCCATTTAGTAGCAATGACAGTTTGCACAAGGTACTAGTTTTTTTTTTACCGTTTACGCCTTTGTGCATTTTAACACTAAAGAAGTTTAATTTATCTTTCAGGATGGTTCTAACAACCTTCGTATTCATAGTCCATTTGAGAGCCCGCCTCAGCTTGACAAGGCATTATCGGAAATGGCATTATATGCAGTTCCTCCTAAAGGATTCTATCCCTCAGATTCTGGTACTATTTCTCTTCATTCTGGAGGCTCAGATAGCATGCATGGACACATGAGGGGTACGGGCACGGATGCTTTCAGAGTTAGTATGTCAAGTGCCGTTAGTGGCTCGAGCCATGGCTCTGGTCATGATGATGGAGATGCATTAGGAGATGTTTTCATCTGGGGAGAAGGCATAGGAGAAGGTGTTTTGGGTGGTGGAAACCGTAGAGTTGGAAGTTCGTTTGACATAAAGATGGATTCCTTATTGCCAAAAGCTTTAGAATCTACAATAGTACTTGACGTCCAAAATATTGCTTGTGGTGGACAGCATGCTGTCCTTGTGACGAAACAAGGAGAAAGTTTTTCTTGGGGAGAGGAATCTGAAGGCAGGCTTGGCCATGGAGTTGATTCCAATATTCAACATCCAAAGCTCATCGATGCACTTAACACCACAAATATTGAACTTGTAGCATGTGGTGAATTCCATAGTTGTGCAGTTACTCTATC